GTTGTTGTTCTTGAAGTAACAAAAGTAATTTTCAGTGGCAAAGTGTGATTCATTTGCTCAGGAATGCTTCCCAGGCCCCTTGTATGCATTAAGTAAAAACTAATCAAGTGCTCTATTCCAGTGGAGGAGGCAGGTCATAAACAAAGAAAATATAGTGTGCCAGCTAGGATGTGCGGTGATTAAATCTGAGCTGATGCGAGTGAGTTGAGGAAGGCGGAAGCAGGGAGGAGAGAGAGCATTTGAGCAGACGACAGAATCAACTGTGAAGCTCTGAGGGGCCAGTTCCAAGCTGCCTAATAATCACAGATATCTGCCAGGAAACCATGTTACACACACGCACGCGCACACACACACACAATGCTTATATACATAAGAACAACAACAACAAAATGAGCTCTCCTGTGTAACTAGGGAAACGATATAATTTTCTTTTCTTCTAACTTATTTTAGTGTTAAAAATAATTTATTACCCCAAGATATTTTATGCTATTTGTGGCTATCGTGAAAGGTGATGCTTCTCTAATTTCCCTCTCTGTTTCCTTATCCTTAGTGTATAGGAAGGCCACTGACTTTTTGGAGTTGATCTTGTATCCTGCCACATTACTAAAGGTGTTTATCAGCTGTAGGAGTTCTTTGGTAGAGTTTTTGGGGTCGCTTATGTATACTATCATATCATCTGCAAATAACGAGAGCTTAACTTCTTCTTTTCCGATACGAATCCCCTTGATCCCCTTATGTTGTCTTATTGCTATTGCTAGAACTTCAAGCACTATATTGAAGAGGTATGGAGAGAGTGGACAGCCTTGTCGTGTTCCTGATTTTAGTGGGATGGCTTTGAGTTTTTCTCCATTTAATTTAATGTTAGCTGTCGGTTTGCTGTAAATAGCTTTTATTATATTTAGGTATGACCCTTGTATCCCTAATCTCTCCAAGACTTTTATCATAAAGGGGTGTTGAATTTTGTCAAATGCTTTTTCAGCATCTAATGAAATGATCATATGGTTTTTTTCTTTCAGTTTATTTATATGGGGAGTTGTGGATATAATTGACTTTGGATCACCTCCTGTTTTCCGTTTGCTGTAATGTCTTTGGGATCCAATCAGGGTGTTGAGTTCAATGTGACATTTAGTTATTTTTCCAGGGCTGGGTAATCTAATGCGACAGGGAACCCTGCTGTATCTGGCTGCTCACCTGTCCACCACCGTCTGACTTGTGTCTGGTTTTGGCTGTTAGGACATGCTGCCTTGGTTCCTGTGTAGGAGCTTTTGCCAAAGACTTTTGCTTGGTGAGGAACTGCTGGCTAAGAGATCATGCAAATATGCAACTTTGTAAAACAGAGTGAAATCGTTTCTGTGGCTGTAGAATTTGAGTCCCTCTGCAACACTTATTATTGGATCTTTTTCACACTCAAAACTACTGCAAGTAAATTGACATTTTATTGGTACTGATTTTTATTATAATTATGGATTGATTATATCTTCATATATTTGTAAATGGGTCACATTTACTTCTCCATTAAATTTTTGGTCATGTTTTTTACTGTGAAGTTTTTACTTATTTTTAGGAATCATATATATAGTATTTCATTGCTTTATCAATTATATCCACTATAAGTAAAAAAAATTATTTATTACTTTTCCATCTGATTTTTGTTTGTATAGAATAGATCTTTGACTAACATTTCTTTTTGCTTTTCCATGTTTCTTCTGAACTCAGGTCAATTTGAATCTATTTTTACACAATGGAAAAAGAAAAATGGATTATTTTTCTAAGTAACTGATGGAAATTCATAAAATTTCCAATTGAATTATCAAGACAGAAATAGTAAATTGACTCCAAGACAGGCATACGCCTTAAGTGTGCTTTCAGCCTGCAAGATGGCTCGGTCCTATTATAGCACTTGCTACCAACCATGATGGCTTCATTTTGGCTTTGGGGCCTACAAGATAGAAGGAGGGAACTGACCCTACACGTGTCCTCTACATCTGTACATGTGCATACAGTTACTTCTGATTATCGGATGCCTGTCTCACTCATGCTATTCCCATATATGCTGGGGAGTTTTATAGCAACCAGATAATCAGCCAACTGTCCATCCACACAACTCATCCTTATCCTATACCTGTAGAAATATACATCAAGGAAACAACCCAAAGAGGGAAGTAATTTATTGGAGTGTAGTGTTTGTAGTTAAAACCTGAAGGTGATCCACATGGCCACGGAAGAAGGGTCAATCAGGAAACATTCTGCTGTAGGACACAAAAGATGCTCACCAGGAAAGGCAGACATACAGAACTGAGGAAGACTCATAAGCTAGGAGAGAAAAGTTCCCAAGACAAATATACAATGGGGTTTAATTACAGCAGGGTGGGAAGAGGCCACGGCTGGAACAGAACTGATGATTAAAGGAATTGATAGTTGTTGTAGCTATTGATAGATATTTATTTTTTTAAAGATCTGTTTTGTTTATTTTTTAATTGTGTGTATGTGAGGGAGGGGAGAGGGCCTGTGTACACACGAGCGCAGGTCACCTCATAGTCTAAGAGAGAGCACTGGACAGGTCTGCCTAGGTAGCCCTGGCTAGCCTGTATAGACCAGGCTTCCTACCCACTCTCAGGATCTGCCTGTGTCTGTTTCCCACATGCAGGGATGAAAGGTGTGCACTACCATGCCTGGCAATTCAAAATGTTATTACATTTTTTTGTATTCCTTTGTTTTATTACAATTGGTAGAACATAGAGTATACAGATATATTAATGGAACATTCTTAATTTGTTTTAAAATTTAAGTAGAACACATCTAGAAGTAACTTTTTAAATTAAGTTTTATTGTTATTGTGTGTGTATATGATGCGTGCGTGAGAGTGTATGATGTATGTGTGAGTGTGGGCACACTTGTGCCGCTGTGTACGTGTGTGTAGGTCAGCGATCATTGTCAGGTTTTTGCCATTGTTTCTGGTAATCTAACTCAAGCTATCAGGCTTGGCCAGCTAGCACTTTTATTTGCTGAGCCATCTTGCTGATCCTAGTGGGTGTTGCTTGTGGTCCTAACATGTAGGGTTGACATAGAAAGATCATAAGTTCAAGACCAGCATGAGCTAAATAGTGAATTTGAGATCAGCCTGGGCTGGTCAAAACAAAAACAAATTGGCTATGCTTTGAAGTAAAACAGCTTTATCATGATACCGGGAAGCTAACTATTAAATAGATGTTTTCTGTTTGGCTGGGCGGCGGCGGCGCACGCCTTTAATCCCAGCACTCAGGAGGCAGAGGCAGGCAGATCTACAAGCCTGGTCTACAAGAGCTAGTTCCAAGACAGGAACCAAAAAGCTACAGAGAAACCCTGTCTCGAAAAATCCAAAAAAAAAGAATATAAATTTTCCAGTGAGGACAAACTATCATGACCATTCTGTTCTGTGTTTGTGTGACTAACATTAAGTTTCCTCAGTTATATGCTAAACTTGCTTCATTTGCCTTCCAAGATTCTAAGGCGTTAGAAATCTAAGAACTTTACTGTCACAAGGAGGATAACTCAGAATAATCTTTATTCTATTGTTTTGTCTGGCTTAGAAAAAGCAAACTAAAGTTTTAAGAAATAAAATATATTTTTATAATTTTGTAATCAAAATGGCATAATCCAAAGAAAATTCATAGTTAAAATAAAACTCCATTAAAATTTAGAAAGTGCCTTTTACCTTTAACAAGAACTTTGATAACTCCTGTTTTTTCAAGTTCTTAATTTCTTATTGTTTAAGCTTTCTACTTTGCATTTTTATTAAACGTCATTAATTTATTGTCTCCAAGTTTTGTTTTTTTTAGACAGATTTTCAAGACATATCCAAGTTTTAAAAAAATGTATATATTTAATAGTTTTGGCTTTCAAGACAGTGTTTCTCTATGTAGCCCTGGCTGTCCTGGAACTTGCTCTGTCGACCAGGCTGCCCTTGAGCTCCCAGAGATCCGCCTGCCTCCCGAGTGCTGGGACTAAAAGCATGCATCACCACTGCCTGGCAGTGTGACACTTAGGTTTTCAAAAATTAGCTATTTCAATAGCTTATTACTTTGTTCTTTTTGATAAAGCAACGAATCTCTTTAGCACTTCAAATTACTTAATAAATTCTAGTTGCTTTCATTCCTAAGTTAATTTTTCTTATCCTGTGTATGTGTGTACAGTATATACAATTTCTTCCCCTGCCCTGTGCTGAGGACCAAGCCCAGGGCCTTGTGTGCGCTAAGCAAGTAGTCCACCACTGAACTTCCCTCCAAATCCTCCTTTAAATATATTTATTTAAAAGGTAGACCGAACTGCATTTCTCATTCTTATTTTTACTAAATTGTCTACTTAAGGTAGGGTCTAACTATGCTTTCCAGGCTGGTCTAGAACTCATGGGTTGAAGGGACTCTCCAGCCTTAGCCGCAGGGCTGGCTGGGACTACAGGTATGGGCCACCCAGTCTAAGATTAGGGTTAGATCCAAGTTCTTGTTAAGTGTTACCCTAGAATGATTGTATTAACTTGTACCTTTATACCATGATCATATTCATTCACATTCAGCTTGCAATCAGCTTTTCAGTAGAAGTATTAAAATAATTAAAAGTCTTTCATATTATTGGAAATACAGAGATGGGTAAGAGATGTATAGAGACTCTGTAGAAAAAAATGTAGATATGCACAGTGATAAAAATACCCACAATCTTTCTAGAAGTTAACACTACAGCTCTAAAATGTGGGCCCTGTGCTTCTCTGTATTTCCTAAAATGCATGCTTTTGGCATTTGACCAATAGTCGGAATACCAACCGAACAACATAAAAAGCTGATGTGGAAATAAAAATTAGCCAAGGCTGACCCAAATGTGGATGGCTAAGGAGTGCCTGTGCCATCTCTCTGTCACACTGTATCTGAGACCTTTCAGAGACAAATGCCCGAGTTTCAGGGAACAAGAATAGGTGTGTACATAGGGTACACCCTAGATTGCCCACAGCATTTCCCCATGACACTGACCTGGATTCTGTAGTCTTGAGGCGCGCATTTGGAAGATCAGTCAACTTTTCTTCCAAGGCTTTATCACCCGTTTCTATGGATATATTTTCCTCACTTTTTATAGGAGTCAACGTAGTCTGGAAACATTTTTCGCCTTGGAAAGTGAGTGTTAGGTCTGAGATGGTGACATGTTTGGAGGCATCTTTGAACTCGTTCTTACTTTTCATGTCTCGTAGACACCCATGCCTCAGGACATTTGCCTTGGGAAATGACAAGCAATAGCAAATCAGTTAAGGAAGGACATCATGCAGAAACAGACTGTTTAGGGAGCAGTTTCTAGTCATTTTATTCATTCTTATTGAGTGTTCACAGGTCCAGGGACAGGGAATAAGTCATGGTCTTTCCCGGCTATGGAAAAAAGCCTGGGCTGGTGTGGAGGCTGGTGCCATGGGAACCATGGCAGGCTCCGCTGCAGCCTAATGCAGTACGTTCAGTTCCGAGTGCCATTCACCAATGCCCCCATCACATAAGATGATTAGTGTGTAGTCATGACACCCATCTTTGAATTAGGGGGTAAAGAAGGTTTTCTAGGAATACCTTGCATTCTACCTCAGTCAGGTTGCTCTTAGGAGCATCTCATAGGTCATGGGAGGTTGGGGCTCATAATTATAATAATTCTGATTTTTGAGATCTACAGCCTAATCTAAAATGCAATTCCCTGAAACCACTCCTCTGTTTTTAATGGTCTTCCCATCACATACCACTGGTCCATGTCTCTCAGTGACCGTATTAGAATGTCTCATGTGGGCCTCAGTGCAATCAGTCAGCAAACTCTATCCCTTTGTCTCTAACAGTCTTCACGTCTGCTCTTCTTCTTCCATGACCACCACCTGTCCATTCTAGTCCTCTTGGGCTCAATGGCACATATCTGTAGTTCCAGCACAGGGGAAACTGAGGCTGGAGGGTTGCAAATTCAAGGACAGTCTGGGCTATAATAGCAAGACCTTGTCTCAAAAAACAACAGACAAAGCCCAACCCAAAGCATGTCCTAGGAGTAATGCAGTCATCTTATTTCCTGAAGAGAGAACTCCATTTCTTTCTTACAGTGGCAGCCATTTCTATTTAGTATAAATTATTTAAGGTTCTGTAAGGAAAGTCTGCTTAAGAAAGGCCAGCTGCTCTTCCAGAGGACCCAGGTTCAATTCCCAGCACACACATGTGACTCACAACTGCCTATAACTCCAGTCCCTGGAGATCCAGCGCTCTCTTCTGGCCTCTGCGGGCACTGCACACATGTGGTGTATGAACATACATGCAAGCAAAACATCCATACACATTAAAAAAGAATCCTCTGAGGAATGAAGTGAAAGTTAGGAAATGTTTCCTTGTGTGGTGGCCCTGTGCAGAAATAATGGTTTTCTGGCACACAATCTCCATCCTACTTTCATCATGGATTTTGCATAGATCTGCTTTGAGGTCATTTTGAAATTATCATCTGTATTTCTAGTCTAACATTTTATATTTATTATTATTACATGGAGGTTCTAATCTCAGGCCATATGCACAATGTACCAGTGCTTTGTACCACTGACTTGTATCCCTATCCTTTTTCCTACTTTTAATTTTGGGATGAGGTCTCACCGAGTTCTCAGGCTGTCCTGGAACTCATCCTGCGGTCCATGCAGGCCTTGAACTCTCAAGCTTCTGTTACAGGCTTTTGCCACCAGCTCTGTGTAATTATCATCAGAATTTTCTACCTGTCATTAGAAACTGTGGAAAACTATTTGAATATTTCCTATTTTAAAAGTACTTACCTGTAGAATAGGAAACAAAATTCAGAAAAGCAAATAAGGTACAATCTGCGCATGTTTCCTCAACATAGAGACAAACTGTTTTTCGCAGTTTATGTTGTTTCTTATGTATGTCTGTATGTGTGGGTGCATGTGTGTGTATGTGCTTGTGGAGGTCAGAAGTCCACATGGGCTTCGTCTGTCTACCCCTCTATCTTATGTTTTGAAACAATGTTTCTCAGTGGGACTTGAGGCTCACTGTCTAGGCCAGACTAGCTCTTCAGTGCTGGGATTTCAAGCGTGTGCCCCCATGCCCAGGCTTTCATGTAGGAGCTGGGCATCAAGCCTAGGTCTGCATGCTTGTGCAGCAAGCAGTTTACTAACTGAGCCATCCGTCTCCCCAGCCCTATTCTTTCTTTTAGTGCCTATGTATCCATGCACTCTTATATCTTAGAGATTATAGTCTTTGCCTATGTATCCATGCACTCTTAATATCTTAGAGATTATAGTCTTTGCCTATGTATCCATGCACTCTTATATCTTAGAGATTATAGTCTTTGCCTATGTATCCATGCACTCTTATATCTTAGAGATTATAGTCTTTGCCTATGTATCCATGCACTCTTATATCTTAGAGATTATAGTCTTCCGGTTTGTTTTTTTCCGAGACAGGGTTTCTCTGTGGTTTTGGTTCCTGTCCTGGAACTAGCTCTCGTAGACCAGGCTGGCCTCGAACTCACAGAGATCCGCCTGCCTCTGCCTCCCTAGTGCTGGGATTAATGGCGTGCGCCACCACCGCCCGGCTAGTCTTCCGTTTTTTAAGTCAATTATGAACATCTTTTCAGGCCAAGAAATGCTTTTGAATAATTTTAACAAGTATACAAAACTAATTTGTCTAATAGAGTTTTGCTATAATCTTGATGTACTTTGGGAGCACCAAACAGAGGACTGTGAACTTGCCCTTTGTAGTTCCAAGTTTGTTTGGCTCTTCTTGGCAGGAGTTCCTCAATCTGTGTGGAGTGACCCCTCAGGGACAAACCATCTTTTTCACCAGGATCATATATCAGGTATCTTACATATCAAATATTGACATTACAATTCATAACTAGCAAAATTACAGCTATGAAATAACAACAAAAATAATTTGTGGCTAGGGGTCACCACAACATGAGGAATCACATTAAAGGGTAGCAATACTAGGAAGGTTGAGAACCGCTGGGTTAGGCTGTTCTCATGCTTTCATTACTTTGCTGTTATAGCCATTAGATTATATTAATATTCTCATTTTAGTTTGTATAGGTTCAGCAATTTAGTCGGTCATAAATGGGATACCCAAAAGCTAAGATTCTAACCTTGGTTTTCTGATCCTGGCCCTGACGTTCTCTGTGTCACACTACTGCTTCCCGGTACTGGAGTAAGTTTGATACAGGGATGGTCACTAGTTCAGGGACTATTTTATGACTTATACTGGGCTCAGGGGTTGAATCCTTTGTTGAAACCATGGTACTCAGAGTTGGCTCCACAGCGTTTTCATCATCAGTGTTGACTGAGAACTTGGCCACAGCTCCTGTGCTTGGTCACCAAAGAATGGAAGTCCCTACAACACATACCTTTTCCTCTTCCTTGGCCTTTATTATGTCGTCGTTTTCAAATACTACTGTGACCCCTGAGACATTCGGGGACTCTTTGTCTTCTATGACTTCCGTGACCTCTGTGACGATTTTTATATCTGGAGCATCTGTGGCCCCAGTTTCTGGGATATCGGTGACATCAGTGACATCAGTGATATCCGTAACATCTGTAAATTCTGAGAAGTCTGCACTTTGAGTGACGGCAGCGGAGTAGATGCGAGTGTGGGAGCGCACAGCCTGCAGCTCTGCAAACGCCGTAATGTCCATGATGTCCATCGAGCCTGTGATGTCTGTGCTGTTTGTGATTTCTGAGAGGCTGGAGACCTCGGATACTTTGGAAGTTCTGGCTTTCTCCTGGTTCAAGAGGGTGATGAGGTCCACCCACTGGGAAAATACGATATCCTGTTTATATACAGGAGCACAGAGCTGTAAATAGTAGGCTCGGCCACTTATCAGCTTAACTTTGAGTCGCATGTTCTTAGCACTGTGCACAGAAAGAGTCACAAACTGCAGAGGGAGAAACCTAAAAACAAACGCAAGTGGAATGTCATCTGAAGACCTATAAAGGATTTACCGGCTCAGAGAATCAGACCGTCAATGGCCTTGTGTCCCAGATAGCTGAGGGTGGGAGCTCCTAACAGCCGTCTCATCTTAACCATGCCTCTAAGACTCTGATTTTACTAAGTGACAAGAACATTGTTTATCACGAGGAGCTGCCCATTCTCATTAATCCTGAAAAGTTGAGGCTGAGGGCTGGTGAGTTGGCTTTAACTAGGTAAGGGTACCCACAGCCAAGCTTGATGACCTAAGTTCAATCCCTTGGACCCATATGGAAAAGGACAGGCTAATTCCACAAACTTGTCTCCTAATATTGGACTGTGGATGCACTGCCTGCACATACACACACACACACACACACACACACACACAAAATAAATATATTAGAAGCTGAGGTTTACACATCTGTGAATTCAAATAAAAGCTACATTGAGATTTAATATTATTCCAGTCAGAATGGTTTCTATCACTAAGACAAACAAAAGGTGCTGGCAGCGAGCGATACAGGGAGAATACGGAAAGCATTATGTACTACTGGTAGGAGAATAACTTAGTGTAGCTGCTATGGTAACCAGTCAGCATGGAGGCTCCTCAAAGAGCTAAAACTTGAACTCTCATGTGATTCAGCAACATCATTCCTGGTTGTGCTCATCCAATGGAATCTAAGGCATCATGCAACAGGTATACCTGCTTACTCCTGGTTTCCAGGGCACTGGTCACAACAGGCAAGTTATGGAATTAGGCCAGGGAGTATGAACAGATAGATAGGTAGATAAATACACACACACACACATATACTCGAGCTTTATTCATCCATAAAGAATAATGAGATGATATCTGCAGGAAAGCGTCTAAAACTAGAGATGGCATTAGGTGAAATAAGCCAGGTTTAGGAAGTCAGAAGTATCATGCCCTCTCTCATGAGGAGTCTGGATGTTTAAAAAGGTGAGGCGATAAAACACTTGCTGTGTGAGCCTGATGGCCTGGTTTTGGACTTTGAAACTCAGTCCAAGCATCTGTAATCCTAGCTGGCCTTACTGGGGAGTGGGAGGTGGAGATGGGAAGATTGTTGGAAGCTTCTGCACTTGCTAGTCCGGAGTACACAGCAGTGAACAAGAGAGACGCTGTCTCTCACGGGGGAGTTGATGACTGACACCTGAGGATGTCCTCTGACCTCCTCATATACACAAGACACACATGCACCATGTGCACACACACACATGCATGTGCACCCCCACACATACAATTACACAGACATAAAAGACATGAAAGTAAAAGGAGAGTATATGAGATGAAGAAGAGGCCCGATGGGATGGGGTTGGAGGCCAAGGGAGGGCAAAGAAGGGTGGATATGTTCAAGGTACTTAATGCACACGTATGGAAACATTATAATGAAACCCATTATTTGTACAGTAAGTATACAGTGATAAAATTGTCTAAAAATGAGGCCAAAATTAAGCTACTTGATCAAGATCATAGACAAGATGAGGCCAGACAAATTCTGATGGATGCGAGGCCACTGTGGGGAGGAAGAGCAAGCTCTTGAGCGGCTGCTGTTTTTAGTCCTCATTACTTTAGGTTTTTCTTTTCTTTTTTTTTTAAACTTAATTGTCAGTTGTCATGAACCATTTTTTCCCCTGGATGCTCTTATAGACACCCCTGCATCATCTGAGAAAGTAATGTGCCTGACGGCTCTTTTGGAACCCTAGCCGCCAGCGTCTCCACTTTCAGCTCGGAGGGGCTATGGTGTTCTCTGAGAGACTGCTGTCCTCCTGTCCCGTGACTCACCTGGTGAGCACCAGCTTGTCTGTGGAGGAAGATGACAGGAGGCGTTTAAAGAGCGGTTCTGATTCTTTTCTAGCCTCTGGTGTCAGATGTGCCAACAGCATCACATTGGGGGTCTTCAGGACGGGATTGGAAGAACAGATGCCGATGGTCACCCAGTTTGCTCGGTTATGCAGATAAATCGACTCACCTCTCCTATTGACCTGAAAGCAGAGAACAGGAAAGGAGTTTCTTGATAAAAGGCGTAGATTTAGCACCCTTGCTTGCTAGAGCAGTGTAAGTGAGGCCAGAGAACAGGGGAAATGAGCCATGGTACCTCCATTCCTTGACTTGTTCATGATTTGGAGATAGCAGAATGAATAGCCACAGTCTCTGGCCTGTGGAGTCTCCTAGGGAGGACCAGAGCTAGCGACTAAGGTAACTATTAGTACTTCAGGGTACTATGGAGCATGTGACTGGGGTATTGACTTAGGAATGAAGTTGGTGATGTGTTAGCACACATGTAGCAGTTAGTTCAAGTGAGCAAGCACTCTGGGTGCTTTCTAAGATGCTTGCCTTACCCCCCTCACTTGAACCTCCAGAGTCAGGAATTTTGGTAGCTTGCTACCAATGACTAACTAGGAAAAGCTGGGCATCTTGGAGAGTGTGAATGCAGTTATGTGGGACTGTGGCTGATATGTAGATCATAAACTCCCCCTTCCTCGTGTGGGGCCAGGGTTGTGTGGTTAGAGTGCACAAGAGATAGTATGAAAAAGGTTCAGGAATAAAGGGGAAAGAGATTAGCAGGAGGAAGTAACCAAATGCCAAAAACATTAAATTATGACATCATGTGTTCCTGGGGATCGTGTGTCTAGGGCAGCACTGAAACATGTTCTGGAGACTCCGCTCTTCTCCGTGGTACGTTGGACACAGAGATGTCACACTAGTCCTCCACACTTAGGAAGAATGAATTCTCCTTATCTTTGAAGTGTCTGTCACTTTCCTTGTTATACTCTGTGGGATCAGCTGAAGGTGTTGGCTCTGTGTTCAGCAGCAGACGATCATGACATTTCTGTGAGGGACAGGCAAGGTTCACATTGCTGAGCCCATATCTTTGCTTGAGAGCCTAATGTTGAGTGTTGAGAGGAAAGCCCAGCCAACTCCCAGGTGTTCTGAAGCTTCATTCAGGATGCTGGCACATTCTTGCAAGAAAGAACTCTTGTCTCTGACGCTATCTGACAGTTATATTGCCCTTTCAGGACCAACATATAAGACTTATTTTAATTCTTAGCACTCCCCAGATTGTTGTCTACTTACTTGGTCACTAGGGACTGACCCCAGGGTCTTGTGCATGCTAGACCAGGACTCTACCATTGAGCTCCTCTTCAGCCTCAGACATTTGTCTTTAAAATATAGGTCTAGGGGCTAGAGAAGAGCTCAGCTGTAAGGCCTTGCTCCTCTTACAGAGACCCGGGTCCAATCACCAGCATCTACATGCTGGTTCACAACCATCTATAGGCGTATACATGGTGTACAAACACATGCAGGCAAGCCACTCACATACTTAACATAGACAGTTTTAAAAATTAAAACTCTAAGAAAGAAATTATCTGGATACCTTCCTGTGATAGCATGTTCTAAACATCATTTTGTGTAACAAGATTATGTTAGCATGACAATTTGGCTAGCATGGTAGAATTTGGACAGAATTCTCGCCTTCGAGTTTGTTTGGAACATTTTCCTGTAACACTAAGTTTTCAGGTTTTTTAAAAGTCACAAAGCTGTCCCCCTTAATATCACACTGTGCTCTCAAGCCACTAAAAAGATTTCTCTTTTCAGCATTTCACTGTCTTTGAGAAAATGAAATCTGGAAGTGACAGGACTTGATTGAGAGTGCAGGTGTTATTTACCTGAATAAAATTGCTCTCCAGTATGGGAGGGGTTATAAAAGGGGCATACTCTCCTCCGTCCAGCACATTCTTGAGACGCCCTAGACGGAAAGCCTTTGGGATCCAGACAGGATCTTCGTCATCCTCTAACTGCTTGTTCTTCTCCATCATGCTGACATGGAACATCAGAAAAGCGAGAGAACAGAGAACAAATGCATGAATCTGCAAAGAAGGACATAGCTACACTGCATCCTTTAGTTATTACTGAGTAAGTTTTTATCAAATCTGTGATATGCTTGACTCCACGCCAGGCAATGTAGGCACATATACACCTGGAACTTATACTTTGGGGGGTGGCAAACAGTTAGCAATCAAACACAAAAGTTGTCTGATAGAACAAACAGCAGTCATAAAGAGGAACGGGTGTGTGACTGGCAATCCTTACTAGTGTGGGAAGGAAGGTAAGGAGACTTTTTTAACATATGCCTTCTCCCTGAAACCATTATTTTCTATTATCTCCATAAATTAATCATAGTGGGATCTCATGTCCTTTTGTGTAAGGATGTGAAAAGTACATTAAACACCTCACACATGACTGAGCCTTAGCCTTTGTTAGGGAGATAAATGGGATAACTATCTAATCAAGGACAGTCTATTGCCTGCTACATAACTCATGCTCTCCTTCTCTGAAGACAGCTTCAGCAGGAAACAATGTGTCTACGCCACTGATTTCACCCTTTGTCTATCAGCAATGATTGTAGGAAGGGAAGAAACAGAACCCCCAAATTTATGTACATACATTCAAGAGATTGTAATCTTATTTCTGTAAGAATATACTCAAAAGGTCAAAAACTAAAAGATACTAACCTTTACTGATCATTAAGGCAGTGTAAGTCACAGCTATAGTCAGTCCTTGTGTTCCTCCAGAGTCCAAGAAGAACGGTAAATCCTAAGCATGTCTCCGCACCTCCTGTCATGGTTGTGCCTCTCACAAGCGCATGGCCTTGGGCAAGCTGTGCAATTCCCTTTCTTAGCACGGTTTTCCCTGCCAGGCTTTCTACTGTTAGCAACTCTGCGGCTCCCTTTGTAGTTTCTTAAAATATGTTCACAGAGAGGATAAAATCAGTCAAGATGAGCAAGAGAGTGAAGAGATGGGAAGACTGAAATAGCCTGTCGAAGTTAACTACTGAGAAATGGCGCCAGCACATCCGTCCTTAGAAGTTAACTACTGAGAAATGGCCCCAACACATCCGTCCTTAGAAGTTAACTACTGAGAAATGGCCCCAACACATCCGTCCTTAGAAGCTAAACTGTGAAAAACAATGAGAAACAAAAAGCAAAGACAACCATCATCATCACTTAAAATAGAGATGACAAGAAATAATGTTTTATACACTGGTGCTTCTATGGGGTAAGCAATAAAGATTTTGCATGCCCTATCTCATTTAGTCATTTAATTTGGGCTATGCTCATAGACACCACAGCTAAGGCTGAGAATGGAAAAGTAACTTTGCGATCATCACACAGTTTCTACCTAATAAACTAGGATTCAGATCCCCTTATCCTGACTCAAGGAGCTCATGGCTGTTGCCCAACCCGGTCCTTTTGTGCTTGGAAAGCTAGGTGTGGGATCTGGCAACAGTGAGAGAGCTTGGAATGATGGGAAGAAAGGAGAACAGGAGCAAGGAACACAGAAAACATCTCTTTTCCTTCCTGTTTCCTTCTCTTCCTAAACAGTTTGGTCCTGATGCATTGGTGAGACAGAGAGAGGTTGGAGAAGAGGGGAGGATGCAAATAAGGCCTAAGGAAGGCAGAGCAGTTCCCTTGGCTTAGCTGTCACCACCTGTCAGCTCAGGCTCTCATGTCTCTTCCCATGCCTCCAATCTAGAAGAGATGGTCAAGGCTGGTGAGACAGCTCAGTGGGCAAAGGCTGGCAGCCCGATTTCATCCTCAGAACTCACACGGTGGGAGAGTCAACTCCTGCTAGTTGTCGCTGCCTCCCATGCGCATACATAGATATAATAAAGATTGTAAACTTCATCATCGTACATGCATCTTGGCACATGGAGTCTCCAGGAGAAAGGAAGACAAGAGCTCATAGAGAGTCATAGGTAGAAGAGGTAGGGGGAGAGGACAGGAGGAGGAAAGGTCAGGAGCAAATGTGACCATGCAACTGTCCATGGTCTCATCTACGAGGACCATCTTGTAGATGGTCAAATCTTACCTCTGGGCCGAGTCACAATCCCGTGTTGGAAATGAAGTTTGCAACTCACTTCAGTTTGAGTTTCCTCCTTTTCATGATGAAGCTTTTGTTAGAGAAACAAATACAGAAAATAAGATATTATACAGAGGAAGCTAACTTCATTTCTATACCTTCTACTTCATATGTTGAAGTCTAAGCTTTAAAGTCTTGTAACTGTGCCAGATGGGTTTTATGGTCTGGATGTTAAGTGTCCTTGATAGGATCATAGGCTTAAACTTTGGACCACAAGAGCTTCAATGCAATCAATGTGGATTTATAACTTGATAGCATCCCTGTGAAGTGGTGGCAACTTTCAGAAGTTGGGCCAAGTAGATGGAGGCGATCACAGGGAATGTGTTAGGGAGCTATAGCTTGTCCTAGGAGTCCTTTCTCTTTCTTCTTCTCTTTTTCCTTCTCCATCCGCCATGAAAGGTGAGCGTCTTTGCTCCATGACTACTACCCTGTCTGGGCATCATCAGAATGGGCTATTTGAATCCAGCAGCTGCAACGGATTCTCATTCACTGTGGTCACTGCATGTGTGTGCACACGTGCTTATGTATGTGTTCATGTATGTGTGAGAAGGTATGCATGGGCAGAAGGGTTTCTCACTGGCAGTGGAGTTCATTGATTTAGCTACACCATCTGGCCAGCAAGCATTAGGATCTTCTTTTTTGGATCCCTGGCACTGGGATTATAGGTACATGCCACTGCACCTGGCTTTTTGCATGTGTTCTGGGATCAGGTCTTCATGCTTGTGTAGTAAGTACTTCCTGGCCACCTCATCATGGTCATATATGATTGCACCCAAACTAGCAATTGGTCTGAAACTGCTTCTATGCCCAAGTAAGCTATAAGGTAACAAGTTCTGTGCCCAAGTAAGCTATAAGGTAACAAGTTCTATGCCCAAGGAAGCTATAAGGTAACAAGTTCTATGCCCAAGGAAGCTATAAGGTAACAAGTTCTGTGCCCAAGGAAGCTATAAGGTAACAAGGTGAAGAAAGCAATACAGATTATGCTGTTAGGTTATACTTCACTGCTATTGAAACTGTGTTCCTGTGGTTACTTGAAGCTATTAATGTCACCTTCTGTTAACATTAAGAAAGCGCATCACAAAAGTAACAGAACTGATATCAGACACCTGGAAGGTCTCAGAGTAAGTGAGGCAGATCAGTTGTTAATGATGACCGAGCTGATTCCTACAACCCACATGGTTGAAAGAGAGAACTGGTACCTGCAAGTTATCTTCTAATCCCACATGCATGCATGTAATAGGAGGCCACTTATTTGTTTCCTGGCTGCCCAGACTCCTGAAATAACCACACAGAAATGATATTATTTCCAATACTGTTTGGCCAATAGCTTAAGTGTATTTCCAGCTAACTCTTATATCCTAAACTAACTTATCTCCATTAATCAGTGTATCGCCACATGGCCGTGGCTTACTGACAAAGTTTCAGCATGTCTGTCTCTGGCAGTGGTTCCATGGCTTTTCCCAAACTCTGCCCTTTTTCTCCCAGCATTCAGCCTAGCTTTCCCTGCCTACTTTGGCTCTATCCTATCACAGGCCCAAAACAGCTTCTTTATTAACCAATGGTATTCACAGCATACAGGGGGGGCATCCCACATCACCTCCCCTTTTCTGTTTAAATAAAAGGAAGGTTTTAACTTCAACACAGAAAAATTACATTTAATAGGGCTGCTGTGATCAAGCTGCTTACCAACCCCCCCCTGAAAAGTCATCGTGAACACTCCTAAAAATACTTTGCCCAACAAAAAGCAGGAAGCAGTTTAGAGAGTACTACGCCCATATTCCCAAATATTGTCTATAAATGTTTGTTTACATTTAAAGGGGATATAATATAAAGATATGCATTGTTATGATCTTGCTTTATTGATACAAATTTAAGGTCAATTTTGTTATATGTATATTTCTGCTCTTGATTAAGGTATTGTGTTTGTGCAGCTCATTTAAAAATGTAATATACAATTAAGAAGTATAGGTTAATAGAGTCATCTATAATAGTTCAAGCCCATAGTCATGTTAGCTAGGTTTTGTAGATATATAGAGATATATTTCAGTTAGATAGGTATTTTCAAATCTTTCCGAGACCTTCAGAATATGGCATTTAAAAGTTTTAAGGACTTAGGACTGCTTGATGTTGTGCAGGACCCACAGCAAAATGACTGCAGAATTTGCCCAAAGGTGAGATAATCCTTTAGGGTTCCTGCTTCATGAAAGAGTTTGCCAGACATTCTGCAGGATACAGAAGAAAGTTGCTGACAAACTGCCAATATAGGCAGAGCTGTCTTTGAAATTTTCTGCTTCATGGAAAAGTCTGCCTGACACTATGGACCTGTAGGCTGAAGATGGATGCTCTAGCAATACAGAAGAACTTTAGATTACCAACCCGGCATCAAGATGTCTTTGTCAATTCTAGAGTTTTAAAAGTTGCTTACAATGCACTTCCTATTTACTTAGGTAATATTATATCCTTCTGGAGTCTTTGATGGAGTTGAAGAATAGATAGTTGTAGTTATAGTTTTCCTTAGCTTTGATAAAAGATAAAGTATATATAAATATTGTAACTGTAATTCTTTCTTGATACCTATTTTGTTATATGTAATTTTACTATGTTAAAGTTAAAACCTTCCTTTTTTATTTAAACAGAAAGGGGAAAGTGGTGTGGGAGGTCCTTCTGTCTATGTGTTGCTTTTATTGGTTAATGAATAAAAAAATTGCTTTGGCCTATAGCAAGGCAGAACTTATCCAGGCAGGGAAAACTAAACTGAATGTTGGAAGAAAGAAGGCAGAGTCAGGGAGAAGCCATGGAGCCGCCATTAGAGACAGAGATGCCAAAACTTTGCTGGTAAGCCACAGCCATGTGGCAATACACAGATTAATGGAGATGGGCTAATTTAAGATATGAG